ACCAAGCCAGTCTGGATTTTCTTGACACAATCGCTATTTTTACGATATGCAGTGTATATTAATGATCTGATAAGCAGCAAAGGGGGAGGTCAGCAAGGGTGTCATGGGGGTGTACTTGTTTGAAGGCATTTGCACTTGCAGTGATCTACTCCAACCTACACATTCCTATGTGAGAGGCTCCATTCTTTCATGTCCACAGTAAGTTTCGTTTTGGGGCCTACCTATTGTTTGATCACACATTGGTGTGAATCGGCATGAATGGAATTTCACAACACAATGCCACATTGGATTAACAGAAAGGAATGAGTAATGCACGCACCCGAGAAGTGCTGCGTTACTATTCGCATTCAACTTTATGTAGAATTACCGTACTTCACAAGTGTGTCAGAAAAGTTGTTTTCCTTCTTGGCGACTCAGAATCTTTTTCGATATGCTATATTTCTCCTCCTTGTATTTCCGCGTAGGTTTTCTCCGGGTACTCCGGTTTTCTCCCACATTCCTAAAACTTGCGTGGCAGTTTAATGGAACATTCTAAATTGTCCCGAGGCGTAAGTGTGAGCGTGTCTCTGTGTATCCTGCGATTGGCTGGCGACCAGTTGAGGGTGTCCCCCGCCTTCTGTCCGGAGCCAGCTGGGATAGGCTCCAGCATGCCCACTGACCCTTGTGAGGATGAAGCGGATCAGAAAAAAAAGAAATAAAAAAATCACAGGGTGCATGCAAAATGTCAGCTGGAGGGTGCTTTAAGAGCTTGATAAAATTTGCAGCCCCTTTCCTCACTGTTCTCACCGGGGGTTCCTGATGATCAAAACCGCCAATATTAACATACACACAGTTGTGTTCGGACACAGCCAGGTCAACAACAGAAGGCACACCACTGAACAGGCCGTACGTTACAATCAGGTCCAGGGTGTGTCGTTCTAATGTGTGCTGGCTCTGAGACCTTTTACAAGGCAAAGAATATATCAATTCATTACTCATTGTAGCAAAATTCCAAAGTCACAAATGCAAATTACAGCCACCAAAAACAAACTTTAAACACTTTTATAATAATACTCTATCATCCACAAAAATGATCAGTAGCTCACTGAACAAAAAGTCCACAAAGTATTCCCAAAAAATGTTTTTTAAAACACAATTTGCACTAAGAAGAAACTTTTGGAATGTGCAACCTAATAAGACTTTTAAGACACTTTCCTTACGACCAATAATAACAATAATAATAAAACATTTCATTTATAAGCGCCTTTCAAAACACTCAAGGACACTTTACAACCAAAACAAGAACAATAAAACCACATATAAAATTATAAATAATAGAAGGAGAGATGAATTTAAACTGAATATGCAATTTTAAATAGCGATTTTAAATAGTTGACGCCGGCAACATCGGCGTCGCGAGGAGCACTAGCCCAGGGGTCCCCAACCGCTGGTCCGCAGACCGGTACCGGTCCGCAGGGCATTTGGTACCGGGCCGCACAGAAAGAACTTGCCTTATTTCCATTTTATTTATTTCGGAACACTAAAGATGTTTTATTTTGAAAAATTACCGGATTCTC